TTACAGAGCTTTTGGGATTTCACCACTTAGGAATGTGGCTTTGGGGGCTGTGTGTCATATGATGCAATTGGGTGTAAGATTATGACCTGGACCAGGTGGAAACTTCTTCCTCTGTAGATAGAGGGCGCTGTCAAGTCCCTACCCTCGGCTGCCATCCCTTGGTGTCCTGAGGACACCCGGCAGCCTCCCTTGCAGCTGTGGTCAGTGTGGCCCTGTTGATACACGGGGTGGCTTAGCAGGGCCCACTGCCCACCCATATCCATAGCTTGTCACCTGTAGTTTAAGCTTACACTTGAGCTCCTGAGGCTGGAGCCCTTCATTAACACAAACCCAGCAAGCTGGCATGAGCTGCCTGTGACTGGAAAAGGACCAGGACCCTTTATGGCCACATCAGAGACCTGAATTTTCTCAGTCTTCCCAGCTCTGATCAAAAGGCCCTGCAGACTTTAGGACTCTGGAGATGCAGACAGCTTTCTGTAGTTTGGGTCCCCATCTGATCTGACTCCACCCAGCTCCTTCCCACGGCCCAGGGAGACAGTGTAATCCTTTGTCAGATCCTACCAGAGGGCAGAGAGGGGCCCTTCTTTGTGTGTTGCCTGTTGTGAAGCTGGCTCTGCAGGCGCTGAGAAGCCTGGTGGGCTTCAAGCTGGAAGCCCTCCCTCATTGTGGGAGGACTTGCAGGGCCAAGCCTAAGCCAGCTCTGCAGCCTTTGGTGAGTGAGAGACCCTTGAACCTTATGTTTTTATCTTAAAAAATGGCTTAATATTGGGTTGTTTTCCCCCCAAAGACCTGTTCAAGTCCTATTCCCTGGTTCCTGTGAATGTGACTTTATTTGGAAATAGGGTCTTTGCACAAGTCTATTGTGTCTTTATCTGGCAAGGGATGCTCTCCAAGACCCCTGTTGGATGCCTGAAGTTGTGGATAGTATCTAATCCCATGTGTATGTCTATGTATATATGTTTATATGTAATCCATATATATATAACCCTATATATGTAAATTTTTCCTATATATAAATGTCTATGATAAAGCTTAATTTATAAATTAGGCACAGTAAAAGGTAGACAGCAGCTATAAAATAGGACAGTCATAACAATATACTTTAATAAAAGTTATATGAATGGGCTCTGTCTCTCTTAAAATGTCTTGCCACACTCTCACATTTTTACTTGAAAGAAACGTGTAGCTTTTCTTGGAATGTCTAAATTGTCAGCGCTGATGTTGTACTGCAGGGTCATTATGAAGTAAAGGCTACCTGAACACCAGCAT